TTGGTTTCTTTGATATAACAGAAAGCAGTATGAGGAGCACTGTCCGAAACCACACACAAATGATATCGGTTCTTCTACATCAAAAATAGACGGGGAAATTTTGGCGTTAGAGGGTAATTGGGCAGGGAAGTTTATGAAAAAGTATTTTCATTTTCTAAAATTGATGTTAAAACCTGGATGTGATGTATTTGATTTAAACTTTCTTGGGTTTGGGGAGTGTCAGTATCTGTTGGTGTCTGTATGTTTGTTGTACGTGTTTAGGATTTCAGTTTTATTTCACAATATACAAAAATGGATTTTCAAATGTCTCTTCTGATCTCTCATGGTCGGTGTAAATAAAGAATCTGTTTGATATATCTTTAATATATTGATATTACTTTTTGGTTTGGTTGTCCGACTGAATGATTAGTTCAATTGTGATGACAATATCGTCTAATTGATATAAATGAACATAGTAGTGATAAGTCTGGTTTTGTGTTAACCGACGGGAAATGGATATGATATATAACCACACAACAACGGTCTTATTTTCAGGAACATTTATAATTGATTAAGTTGGATGTATAACGAAGTTTGTTTACACTTTGAATGAATTTATACTTCTGTCTAAGATAATTTCACCTTACATTCTCTCGTAATTTTCTGAAGAGCTCTTAGCTAGATCATCAGCTTTTAGTAGCAGTGATAATAAAACCTTAAGCTCTGAAAGTGAAACAGGTGCTGAAAAATAACAGTAAATCAAAAAAAGTATACAGATATGCTAGGTAAACGCAGAATTTCCTGGCAAGTCAAAACGGATCTAATAGAAATCTGAAAAATAGTTCTTTGCCGAAAGTTCATTAGGACCACGTGCGGGTTGGTGTATGAAACTATCGAGGGTGGTCCCTCAGATCAATGGATAATTAAAATTTCCGTGATGAGGTATTGAGATGTAACAAATGTGAGATTCTAGCCCTATGTGAGACTTGTTTGAGAAATAATGAAGTATTAGATGTTCCCGGGTACAAATGGACCAATGAGAGTTGTCCGACGCTCTGAAGGTGTTGATGTGCTAGTGAAGAAGCAACTTTTAAACCCTTTTTCTGTGAGTAAACTTGACGACAGTGTCGGCAATATACAAAGAAACCCGTGAACACATAAACATAATGATTTTTCTGTGTGAATTGCCGTGTGTTATCTACCTCCCAATGAACTCTACCAAAAATCACTGATGGAACCGTATTTTTTACACTTTACTACAAGTGTACTGTAACCAAAATAAGGGTGGAATATGTATGTCCACTGTGGTGAAGATACGGAATACATTAACGGTGCAGCATCATACACATGTGAAGCACGCGCGACCCCAGTACGTCGTCAACAACAACTCCTGGTGACTAAACGAAAACTTGACAACAGAAATATGAAATAAAAGCATTATTATATATAATTGTCCAAATGTATGCCTCTGACCATAATTTCAGTTTCAATTCAATCCCATCACTGTACAGGTAAACATGACATCAAATACACGTGTATCGAGGCAGTAAGAAGGACTGCTGTTTAAAAATAGTAAATCGTTATATTTTGTTTTCTGATCAAACTGCATTTGATAAATTCGAAATAAAGGATTTCATGTGTTATTAACGAAATTGATAATAAAATATAAACGACATTTCCACATAGCGGCAAAATTATAACCAAAACAAAGTTTGTGAATATCAACAATTACTGAAGTTTATTTTAATGCCCCAGTTGTTTTGTACAAGATCGCAGAGAACATTGGCCACTATATATAAATATATATACAGAAACCATAAATAAGACGGAACCCACTACCTCATAACATTATGACGTCATCATGAACTAGGTCTTTTGGTTCATGAGAAGAAGTCTTTTGAAGATTAACAAATCTTACCCCTGTGATCTTGAATATAAAGTCAAGGTCATTTCATTTCACAAACTTTGTTGGGCTTCATCCTAGGAACATACCAGCCAAATATCAAAGCATTTGATCTATTGATTATTAAGAAGAATTTGACTAAAGGAAAAGATTGATGCCTTACGACGGATGGCTGACGCCGCTCTAAGACTTAAGCTTACTTGGCCTTACATGCCAGGAGAACTAAAAGTAATAACAAACGACCTCTACAGGAAGCTGGCTGATAAGACATGGTAAGTCAGGAATGATCTATAAGTATAGAAATTAATGTACACAATTTTAAAACATGACTTTATGAAAAGAGTATTGAAATCAATATACCTGAATTAGCTTCACATACATATCACATCTAAGCAATGAAAGATGCATTTAGTCACACATACATGCAATAATAACTTCCTAATATTTCAGATGTTTGTCTACGCCATCCCATGTACCACTAGGCCCACCATCATTAAGTTTACCTGTGACCTGGGACATAGGTACTAATTGCTATACAACCCAGGGAAATAAACTTGCACCTCAGCAGCAGGCCTTTTTATCCCCTGCTCCCAATCTGTCCAATCAGAAATGACATAGTAACAAATGGCCAAGGGGGTGTTACATGTGATTATTTCCAAATTTCATTATTGCTACATTCTTTCAATTATTAAAGTAAACCATGAATTATAAAGTGGTAGCTTTTAGGTTTCAGATTTAAAATTATAAACAAGCATTTTGTCTAGGGATATATTACAGAAGGATAGTGGAAGATTTTCTGGTGTTAGCTTTTGTGTTTGTTCAAATAAGTCGCTCATTTGTTATCTATCTATGCCCTATTCACTACAAAATGTATGCTGTCTTTGCTGTGACCGACCTGACAACAGCCATTTTGACGGCCAGTGAAAACGGAATCACATTTTCGTAACAAAAATAAAAGTAATAAATTAAAATGACAAATCATAAAAAATACAAAGTCAAACGGAAAATTATTGAGATTTTTAGTGCCATGGATTCACAAATAACTTTCGTCGATATAAGGTGATGTTTCACTTGTGAATAGCTCAAACACACATCTCGTTTTTTGAAAAAATCTTAAGTAAACAGAAAGTACATGTATATGTAACAAAAGTTAGCAAGATCAATTTGAAAATTGAGATTCTACTATACTATCTGTTTTGAAAAGATTACCCGGTAGTTAGGAACTTTTGGAGAAAAATAATATATAATCACAGCAAGGCTAGTGGACTCTAACAGATGAAGTATTTAAATTCAATATATTCCATAATACAGCCATTGTACAGAAAATATCAATTTAAACATGATAATAAGCACATTTCTAGACAATCATAATAATCAGATATACTGGAAACCGGTCAACAAGATGAATAAACCTTCTACCAATGTTGTTAGTCCCTATTCCTCAATCACCCTGAATACCGGGTGGTATCCAAGCAAGGAATATCAGGAACACCCTGATCTACACCTAGCATCACGACGTTGGCTCTAACCCCTGTGTTTACTTCTCAGATACCAAAATAGAAAAAAAATGCATTTTCTATTAAACAATAAAACTGACTTATTGACTGCCTTTTATAAATGCAAGTTATAAATATTAATGAGAAATAAAATGTACAAGGTTAATTAATTCAAGATTTGCTCTGTACTATGTATTTGTATTGGATAGAAATATTGGCACAGTTGAGAAATATGTCTTTTTAAAAATGAGGTCAACCAATTTCTTTTCATTTTCCTTCTCTTTAGGGTAATGGGTCACTTTGAAAAAAGGTAAATGGTAGATGTTGTAGAATCCATCTTATTCAAATCCTTGATCAAAAGTTTTCAGTTGTTAATCTTCAAATTCTAACTGCTACAGTAATAATCAATTGTTCTGTTCAAATGTATTTTCAAATTCTAGATGTATTTTTTAACAAGAGATCCCAGAGGGATCTTGGCGCCCACCATTTGATAATCTGTTTTCAGTTCTTGAAGATTTCTTTATTTTTTTTTGTTTGTTACAGGTGTTGTAAATGTTCATGAACTGGTCTTCATTGAATGTATAATGATGGCACAAGATATTTTTATCAAGCACTTATTAGCAAATATCATTTGAAAAAGATCCCAAAGTATTATTAGATAGCAGTCAGTTACAGGTGGATAATGGACAATATGCTTGTGCTGTACTATGATGGCTGCCTGTGCCACCTTGATTTAAGTCCAAAAAAGGTACAATGCACAAGGACCAAGGGAAACCAATATCTATGAAATCAGAAGGATCCATCCAGTACTTCCTCAGATATAGCAGTAACAAAATTTTACTCTCAAAAAAATGGCTGCCTGTCAGTTAGTCCAAAAAGGTATAATGCACAACTTGGAACCAAAGGAAACCTGCATATGAAATTTGAGAAAGATCCATCCAGTACTTTCCAAGAAATAGCAGTAACAAACTTTTACATTCAAAATCCAAGATGGCCACCTGTCTGCCAAAAATATTCCAAAAAAGGTACAATGCACAACTAGGGACCAAGGGGAAACTGCATATGAAATTTGAGAAAGATCCATCCAGCACTTTCCAAGAAATAGCAGTAGCAAACCTTTACTTCCAAAGTCCAAGATGGCTGCCTGTCTGCCATCTTGAATTCAAATCAGTCCAAAAAAGGTACAATGCACAACAAGGGACAAAGGGGAAACTGCATATGAAATTTGAGAAAGATCCATCCAGTACTTTCCAAGAAATAGCAGTAACAAACTTTTACATCCAAAATCCAAGATGGCCACCTGTCGGCCATCTTTTTTCAAAAAAGGTAATGCAAATAGGAACCTGCATCTGAAATTTAAGAAAGATCCATCCAGTACTTTTCCAGAAATAGCGGTAACAAGAATTGATTGCAGGGCGATTTGAATAACCCACCATCTATTAGATGGTGGGCTAAAAATGAAATCCAGGAGTGTCTTTATGAGATGATTTCTTCATATACTGACAGTAGTAATGTATGAAATCATATAGGACATAGAGTCAGATGATGAGAAATTTGCCCATGAAAGAGATGGCTATGTTTCACACCTGTCCAGGGAAAACTGATCATATGCACCAATATAATAAAATTTGATGCTTTTATTCAACGGATATTGTTGAACTGAATTGTAACACTCTCTGATTTTTATAGCAATCATTGAAAGTGGTTATTTTTCATTTGTGATTCTGAACAGACTCAAACTAGAAATAAATCTGATATGTACCGTACTATTACAGACTTATAGATGTGTAGCCTCTACGTAGGCTACAACAGATACCTATATAGCCATGACTGTACAGTTGAAAAACGATGGACACCACAGTATTAAGTACACTTGGCCCTTTATGCTAGGTAAGCTAAAAACATCAAGTCTGATTCTTCTTAACATTTTCTTCACGTATATTTTTCAATTCTTCCACCCATTCTTTGACTTGAGGTGACTGGAACTTTCCTGTAAAAAAATTTACAATGAAAACTTGAGCACAATCCTACAACAAACGGCCAACACTTATGCATTGTTTATTTGGAGGTTACACAATCAGTTATCGGAACGAGGCACATCAATTAAACTTTCTGTAAAAATCCATCATTTGCCATGTTATTGTTTCATGTTTTGCACGCAATGTAAATTTTTTTCTTGATAAAGGGGTGGGTTTTCTCCGATATTTCAAAGTTTTTTAATTCAATTTATCAACATGTTATTACAATGAACATTGCACACAAAAGGAAATGCAAACATCAGACATTTATATAAATTGACTATTAAGTTTACCAGTACTACCGTGATATAAATTTCATTTGAAGTGCACGTGGGACACCATGAGAACTGTTTGTGATCAGTGTACAATCAACTCACCATTGGTGCTGTCAAAGAATTCCTGTAGTGCCTTTGGTCGTGTTTCTAGCTGTTCATACTCTGTAGCTTGAAGTATCATCTCAAATTTATCCAGATCTTTCACAAATCTTGCCTCTGCTGTTGACTGGCTCTCATACTCCTGTAATTTGATATAGAAGATTTACCATGTAAGCAAATGCAGATTTAACAAGAGATACCAGAGGGATCTTGGCACCACCATTGTGTTATTATTGCTGACCTTTGTAGGGGTCACTAGTATTGCGGTTTTTTTACATAGGGTGGAATTCTGAATAGTGGTCCACAACCAAGATTATATCAAATCACAGATAGATAGTCAGAACCTTTCGGACTAAGATCCTGATGAGATCAGCTGAACATCGCAGGTGAACTAGCACATCAAAAGACAAACCCATGTAAATTACAATTTCAAAAGGTCAATGGCATATCAGAGGTCATTCATACTCACTGGAAAAAGGGAAAAAACCTTTAAACAAAATGTTATACCTAAAAATACCCACTCCCCTGGGAGACATAGGGACCTAGACTAATGAAATTATAATTTTTTTGAAGCACCTTGAAATCTTTCAATATCTGAATGTTTTTGAAATTTGAATCAATTTAATTTCATTTTAGCCTATATAATTCACAATATTGGCTACCCTTTGGCTGTCTGATGTTTGTGCAAAATTTCATTGAATTGGTTTAGATGTTCCAAGAGACGAAAAAACTTTTGAAAATTTTTTGAAAGTTCGATGCCAGACAAAAGGCAGACTTTGTCTCGGGTGACGTAATAAAAGTTTACAAACAGAAAACCTGATTACCATAAGGCTTTTTTATCTTAGATCGTGCTGCCCAAAGAAAAGTAAAGTGTCAAAGATTCTGTGAATCATTCCTGAGAGTAAGAAAATAGTGCATGCATCACCGAGGGTATCACAAATTTTTTACACATTTTCAAATTCATCAGTTATCTAACATTTTTGTGTCGGTATCATTCTCAACACTTACCTTCCACAAACATAGGATTTCCTGTGAAACCTCCTCCCCGACAAGGCTGGTAATATGCTGCATGGCTTTCTGTCAGGTACACAGTTCATTTTATCAAATATCTTTTCTTTTTACATAATTATATATCTTATCTTACAACTTCAGCTACATTTTGTTTAGCATTGAGAAAGAAATAAGTTAGTTTTCTGTAATTGGAATCATGATGTGCTTTTTGTGAATCATTCCGAACTAAAGCAAACATGTTTCAAGGGAACGTATGAAAACTTTGACAATAACATAGTAGCCTGTGATAGGTTGTTCTGTGTTGTATATTGTAATTCAGACAAAAGTATTCTTGACAGTATCGTTCGGTTTCATGGCCTAAGTTACAGTGTGAAGTTCTTGCCCTATCATTATTTCTGATAACACCCTTGGAAAATAGGGATATTATAAAAGGATTGTAGAAACTATAAACCACTAATTCATATGCCTTCTATTGAAATTTTACATCTTCTCATAAATCTTACCTCTTCTCGTACAAACTTCTCTTCCTTTGAAACCTTATCTGCTGGTGTGAGATCTCCCACGATACTTTCAGCCATATCATGGACTAATGACATTTTAATGCACCTATTGAGGTAGAAAAATATCACCAAAGAGACCCAAAAAAGAAAGAGAAAGAAAAAACCCAAGAATTGACACTTCTAAAAAATCAGGTTATTTTGAGTTACCTCCCTTTTCAACAATCTATATGGCATTACTATAGGAGTTACAGCCTACAGGAATGATATCAATATCTGAATGTATCATTCAAAATTGTTCTCAAATAATCAGTTCAATTTACTACAATACTTTTCTGATGTGCGTAGACAGTTTCTTGAAGTTATATATCTTGAACGGTTTTGGAAACCAACGGATGCATCAACACCTCACCTGTCTTTATTTATTCCAGCTTTAGGATCAACAAGAAATGACAGCATAGCCATTCGATACATATGGTCTGAAACACTCTCAGGGTTGTTCACATTTCTGAGCACCCATCCTGTTCTTTTAACTCTCTGCAAAAGCACAGGCAAATAATTAATGTTTGGTGTTTTATCAAAAACAAACTATATATTGGTAAGTTTTTGCATTTATGAAATTTTTAAAAATTTAGAGACCCATTCCAAATAGTAAAATATGAATGTATTCTTTCCATTGTAAACTTATGGCCAATAGAGTTGACATAGCTACATGCATCTTGATATTTTGTAGTCATTTATACTTATAATAAATAAGTACACCTTAAGCATTTAAGCAGTTGATACACATACTAGTGGTAATATATGAGTACTATATTTAACCATAATTTGTCATCTGTAAATTTCTCATCTGCAATTACCCCAACATGTCATGAACAATGCCATTAACTTAAAGAGTCACTTCCAGTTCATGTAATCTAGTATACTGTGTATGCTGGTTATCATTCCCCAGAAGGATAGAGCTTTCTCTTACAAGTAAATCAACACTTTTTCCTGATATGAGATTTCATTGTCTCACCCTAGGGTTGACATAAGCTACATATGATCTGACACTGGTGAATACTGAAGAAGGTGTTCTCCATACAAGAACAAACTGAAGTAAAAAAGGGCAATAACTCCTTCAAAAATTGGTGAATCAAATTACTGTGGAGGTAAACACAATTCCTGTCATGATGGTCTCCGAATAAGATTAGCATTATGAAAACAACGAAGGACAGTAACTCTTCCAAATACAGTCTAACCAAACTGCTGTTTAAGTAAACACAATTGTTAGTTATTAAAGTTATTAATCTTAGCAAGTCTCAAAGATATTGACTGAGAATTTGGAAATGAGATCTCCATAAAAGTCTAACATTATGAAAACAACATACAGCCTTTCTGGAAAAAATACAAAAGTCATGTTGTGATAAATCACCCTACCAAGTTTTAAGGAAATCGATTATAAGAGATCTCCGGACGATTATTATTTTGAAAACAATAGTAACACTTCCAAATAAAGTCAAATCAAACTGGTGACTAAGCCTTTGATCAAGTTTGAAAGAAATCAGTGAGCATCTTGATGTTAATATGTAATTCCTACAATGCACAAGGCATGGCAACATCGTATTAACTCAGTTTCTAACCTTGTATCACAAACACCTGCATCTGGAACGTGAACAATCCCCCAAAATTCAGTCCACTTTATCCATTGCTGTGTATAATTTAGACTGGAATTTTGTTTAAGGTGTTCACGTTCTAGATACGGGTGCCTGTGCTTGTATATCACTGCTTCAATAACCGTACATTAAAAAGGTTATATACACCAATTATAGTAAATTAGGATTACCTTTAATTGGCCTACTAATGACATAAACTCGAAGAGTTTTCCGACACTTGATGACATTTCCCTCTTGTGAAAACAAACCAAACACGTGCTTCCTGTTAGGATTATTTGTAAGAAGAGTTTTGATTGGATAGAGTGTAAGGGCAAAAATAAAATGGCTGCGCTCATGAGAAGTGGCCGTGCACAGATGAGAAATATTATTAGGCATTATCCGTTTTGTTCTTCAAAATTTTATTCAACAGAAAATGACAACATATTTGCAGCAACGGGTTCAAGTACAGCTGTAAAGGAGAGTACCGTTGGAGGGCCTGATTCAGACCGACTACTCGTGGAGGGACGAGATAGTCCCGTTTATGAGAGTTGTGAAAAGAAATTTGATCAGTTGCTAAGAAACTCGAAATTTGTTCAGATTGGTGATCTAAGAAAGACTGTAGTAGTAGGAAAAATAATTCAAGTAGTTGACAATGATGTGTATATTGACTTTGGAAGCAAATTCCATTGTGTCTGCAAAAAACCGAAAACATCTTTACAACTTGATGACAGGTACAATAACATTTGAATACCCTAACTTGTAAATTTTCGGTCTCGCTTTTTCTAAAAATCACAAAATTTGTCACCTTCATTGGTTATCAATTGCTTATAGTGAGGATGAAAATAGAGCACAGATAAATTCGTGCTCACCTATAGCAATTACATTTGCACTAAATGTTGAAACTGGCAATAATTGTAGAACAATGTCAGTCAGAATTGTCATTTTAACACAAAGTTAGATGACAGAACATATACAACGTTACATTGGCTATTACGTCATGTTTAAAAAATGACACCATTTTTTTATTGCAATTTTCCAAACAAACCCTGCATTTGAATAATTAAGCAATAACCCAAAGCAGTAATTATCCATCATTACCTGTATGAGGTGTCGTTCCCAACCTGTTCAATATTATTAAACAAACAAAACATGGCAAGTGTCTTGGAGTATAAGCTGTATTTTGGCAAGGATTAGGAAAGATGAACAAAGTCCAACTGCAGCATATATTTTAAGATGTTGACTATTGTTCTATTTTTTGCATGTAACATTTATTGCAAAAAGTCATACTTTGAAAACTTGCCTGTAGGTAGTTGGTTAATGTCTCATCTTATATCCATTCCAATGACATCCTTATGTTGACAGTGTTCAGAGTGTCTGGCATCAACATTGGGCATTATATAGTGTTTTTCAACACCAAAGCTGGATGAACACAGTTGAAATTGACTTGATAATGTCTTCTCAAGTCACACCATCACAAACATAATTCAAATTTCATGAAATACAGCCAGTAAAATTTCAACTGTCTCTTTGTTGATGGCAGATGTGATCAGCTGTTATAACAACAAGGGAAGTAAAACTACAATTCTCCTAACATCTGAATATAGCCACACAACACATATTCCATGTCTTTGTAAGATATCTACATACATTCAGTTAAAAAATGATGATTTCTGTCTAAGATGTTTGTATCAATAATTATTTCGTATTTTGAAGTCATCTCTAAAAAGACATCTTCAACAGTTTTGATAAGTTGTGTGCACAATTTTTCAAAATTTGAAGATACCAATATTGGCAGATTGACAAATAGTCCCAGTGCTTCCTAATGTTTTAAATCATTCAAATTGGATTGGAAACAAGGAAAAGTGCTGTACACTCTTTCAAAACATTGTTAATTTATTCCTCAAAAATTCAATTGGCCATAATTGCACTGAAATTTGAACATATCTAAAGATTCAAAAGAGTGTACAGCCCTTAATCCATATTAAAGTTTACTTAATTGGTATAATATCAAGATTTTGGCAGTTTGTGTTTAAACTGTGGTTGCGAAATGCTGTCGGTACATGATAAAGGTCAGATAACATCCATCTATTAATTATTCTGCGAAGATATATACTATAGTAGTGTCAAAAATAGTAGTTTTAGGTCATCTGAAGTGCATGCTGTGATTTGTCTGAAGGGTTCTGACTATCTATCTGTGGTTTTAATTATCAAAAAATTTTATTGGACATGTTATGGTGTGGCGTTATTCATTCATTAATTGTGAACTTTTGTCCGGAGGTTTCCAACAGTTTTCAATTGATCTTTTGCAAAGGCTCAATCACCATGACAGGTTTTGTCTTTAAAGAATCATGTTGGATTTTGACATTTGTTTTTGGTTATGTCAATAGTCAATATCACCATTTCTTGAGATGTACTGGATGGATCATTATAACATTTCTTATGAAGGTTCCCCATGGTCCCTAGTTTTGCATTCTGTGTTTGAAAAAAGGAGGGGTAGGGGAGCTGAAATAAATGGCAGGCATCTTTGATTTTGACAGTACATATGTTTTCAATTTTTGGATCATAATCATGTTTCATACGTGGGTTTCCCAGGCTTAAATGAATAGTTGTTCTGATTTCGGACAGGTTGAAAAGAAGAAAAAAAAGAACCAACTGAAAAAGAACTAATTTCAAGTAAATGATGAGCTTTAAGGATTCCCTAATGATCTCATATAATACGTTGGCATTAATTTGTCAGGGTGGAGGAGACAATACATTTAGGTTAAAGATATTGTTCATACTTTGGTATAAGCCTGTTTGTTTTTGATAAACAGTTGTTTATTTTAAAAAAATTATTGTATTATTATAGTATTTCAAAATATCTCAATTACAAATAATAGATTCAAACACAATTGCCATAATATTATGGACATCAATTCCAGGGATATGTGTTGGATGAATAATTTATTTGTTATATTTCAAAATTATAAAGAAGATGTTACATTGCTTAATAGTTCATCAGAAAATAACCTGTACCCATAGATAATTCATGAATGATTCTTTCTGATGTCTAATATTTAAACTGGTGTTTTCAGGAAATTTCAAAGAGGTTCAAAGGTAAAGATCCTCCTTAAAGACTATGAAATGACTGCCTCATTTAGCGGTACAAGCACAGATATAACGTTGTTGGAAGCAGATGCTACACTACTTGGATCAATATCATCTCAGTCTTCAAATGTTCAGGAGGACGACAAAGTAGAGACATTCAATAAGAGGAGAGTGTCCAAGGAAAGGACCAACTGGGAGGCAGCAGAGCCTGATTTTGATATAAGGACTTTCATAGCTGATAGCAAAGAGATATAACTTGACCTTCTTCTGTATGCATTACATAAGAAGGGAACCATTTCAATTTATCAAGGATATATGTACGTAACCCTTCAGATTGTGTCAAAGTGTGGCCATGTTTAATTTCTTTTATCAGAGTGCAAGTAGAGCTGGAAATTATGTTCATGTCAACAAATTATGATGAGACAGGATTCATTGGTGTTCACGCAGATTAGAGTTTATGTGAAACTTAACATAGGATAACATTATCTTAATTACAACTATAGAATTGAATGCTGTCTGTATTTACCAGCTATTTCAGATGTTTAAAGAATGCTGAGAAATGAAAAGGTATTAAACAGTGATTTTGTACATGTATTTGTGTTATGTGTATTAAATTAGCATGTTTACAGCAAGGTACTGAAGTTACTTTGTACATGTGATGGAAATATGATACATATTCCCACAATTATTCAAATACACATGTATATAAAGTCGAATGAAGAAAACCAGTTTAATTTGAAGGTTATCAACCATCCCAGCCAAATTTCACAATTAATATTCCAACTCAAGTAAATAGAATACTCCGATAATTTGAAGTTTTCTCGTGGTCCCAGCGACTTCGAGATAATGAGGTTCAAATGTACATATATATTCGGTTTGAGATTTTTAACACAAATCTTTTTTTTTTTTTTTTTTTTGAAAGCATGTCATCTCAGTCTTGCAATAGAACTACATATCATTAGTTTTAGTAACATTTTTAAATATTGTGACAAACAAGGCTTGGTCCAAAGCCTTTTGTGTTTTGTCCATTTTTGGAATTGACCAGAATAAAAACAAAAACAAAAAAAAACCAAATGACCAAATTGCAACTATTTTTGATTTGACATTTAAAGGTTTAATTCTTAGAAAAGAGAAAAGGTCCAAGTTATAAATCACAAATAAAGCGCATTCAGTGGTAGGTACCGAGATATCTCGTTATCAGGAAGTTTATAGATAAAATGAACCTTTGCACAAGGTCATTAAACATCCTCCTGGTCTTCCATTTGAAGGTTTGATTACTAATGTGTACATAAATTTAAATTATTATTTGATTCACTTCTTTTACACAAGCTTCAAAAATATTATTACATTCCAGCAAATAACACGATAAAGCTAATTTGTTGTGCAATACGACCGTTTTTTTCTCATGTAGGCAGGGATGACAGGAGAAAGTGGGAGAAGGCACAGGATGTGATGAACTTTAGAATAGCTGGAAGACATTGAAAAGTGTACAGTGTAACTAATACGAGAGTTGATAGGTTTAGAAGAGACTGATGTAAACTTAAAACATAAACTGTATATTTGGCTCTCTGTCCGTGTAATTTTGTATTTAAACAAGTCGTTTTGTCTTGTCATGTATTTTGTCAAACTTTATGGGAAAAGGACTTTATTTAAGTTGGAAAACTTGTGCCCAATCGCATTGAAATTGTTCAATAAAATATGTTAAAATCAAAATAGGCAGGGCATCCGACACAGGTGCAACGAAATACCTTCTACCACCCAGAACTACCAAAAACCTGCCCAAAACGCGTCAGATACCGTGTATATTCAACCACGACGGATAAAATTTAAAACGTTTGTGTTCAGTTTATAGGTGCGACGAAATACCCCAAACCACCAAAAGCTATCCCTAACTACTCAAAAATTACCCATAACTACGCAAAACTCTTTAACATTTGTCAAAATATGATGGATAAACCTAAAATATACAATATTTGAATTGAGTTGGTGTCGTTTTGTTATCGGACGTGTCTGTATAACGGTTATCTCCCCTACATCGGGATACGAAAGGAAAAACCGAAAGACATTGGTAGTGTTTTATTACATTAATTCACAAGGAAATGTTAATTGATACGATAATTAATGTCTATTAATTACATTTTGACTCAACTATATCTCCACAATTTATAAGAAATTGCTAATCGTTATTTTGAAAGATTTACTCACAATGTTCGCATTTAATTTCCATTCAGATCTTAATATAACCACATAATCTTATCATAACAAATATTGCAAAATTTAGCGTTATCTATCATATTATAATCAATCTTTTGAGTTTGGGGTAATTTTGGATGGGTATTGGTAGTTTTGGGTTATTTTAGGTAGTTTTGGGCATTTTGTCGCACGGTTCTCCTGTCGGCTTTTGTTTTATAGCTCTTATCTCCCCTTCATCAGGATACGGAGGGAACAACAAAAACACATATATATCGACAACGACTTTATTAGATAAACAGTGTTCGGCTCCCAATTAACAAGGATGTGTTAATAAATATGATAGATAATTAATCCATCAATAAAATGTTGACTCAGCTGAACAGTTTGTAAGAAGTCGTAAACATAACGGCATAAAAACGTAAGTCAGGTTTTCATATGTTATAACATTTAGGAACAAATACATTTCACATTAATTTTTGCTAGATTTACACAAAATGCACACATGTCCATTCAGACTTTACAAAACCTTATAATATACATGTATGTGTTCATTCCTACCACTTTTAAGCGCTATACAAATTCGAAAAACAAAGCATAAATGTTGCACATTTCAGCTATCATGTCAGTTGTATATATTTTACGAGTTCGGGAGATCGTGGATACGTTTTGAGTAGTTTTAGTTAAGTTAAGAATGGATTTTGGGTATTTAGTCACGCCGTCCGACACGGGACAGACTGTCGCGAATTACGACATAACATAAATGCATTTGGTACCGAACAGTGAGACAGGAACCGTCTTGAAGATGCTAGTTTAGGTCACGTAGACCAGCAGGGTTCCTTAACCTGGGGAAACGTTAGTTCACCTCCCCATCTGAACTCGGACGTTTCCTTTGGTCAGTTCTGGTTTTATTCGATAGTCTTCTAGGTTTAAACATTTTGGCCCATCACTGACGAGTTTGTTTTGAGGAGGATTGGTGATGGTATGGGCAGGCATAAGAACTGGCAGAGAACTGACCGACATGTTTTCCCGTGGATCCGGATTTACTGGGGCAAAATCCTTGACATGATGCCTATGACATACCTTAGTCGGGGCTCTTTGCCATGAATATCTGTTATGGATGATAATGTTAGGACACGGAGAGAAAGGGTGATTGGGGTATCTTGAGTTTATTAATTAGATAAAGTGACCAGTCCGTTAGATGAATCTTTATCCCAGACAGCTATTTTTTTGTGGAAATGGGCCAGCTAAGGACGCTCCAGAACCTGGGAACAGTTTTGGTAGCTAACTGGAACGATGAAAAAAGAAAATATAACAATAACTAATATAGACAATGTTTAGGACGAGTTTTGTTCAACTGAAGTTGTGAGTTTTTAAAGTAAATACCAGTTTTAAGGGTAAGCAATTTTCTGTTGCTCATTTCCTGACTGTAATTATCTTATTCTGTTCGTATGTTGATGAATTTTTAAAAATTCACACCAATCCAACTTCATCTTTATTGTTAGTTAAATTAGTTTTGAAACATTTGGTAGAAAAACATCCTTAAACTTGATTAAGACAAAAAAAATTGTTCAAAATATTTCAAATTTTAGGACCAATTCTGAAAAGAAAATAGCTGACAGGCGGGGATCTTGGAGTTAACTATGAAAAGGCTGATTTGATCTTCCTCATATTTCATACGTAGGTTCCCATACTTCAAAGTTGTGCTATGTTGATTTTGGGACAGATTAGCAAACAAAATGGCCGACAGGTGACCATCTTGAATTTGACAATTAAAGGTTACAATCACTATTTCTGAAGAGAGGAATTTTTCAAATTTCAAAGTCTTAACCAAAAGAGATTTTGATATCACTTTATGTGCGGCTAACTAATAACAAAACGGCTGTCAATGTTAATTGCAAAACCTTGCGTACAGTAGTCTTTATTCGACTAGTAACGGGTATGACCATCGTTTACGAAATTAACCATATTTAAGCGAAGTCGCAATACACTTGTAAAATAGAGAAATACTCTAGATGACAAGTTATTTCATTCATCGTTCATGACTTTGGCAAGTTTGACACGTGACTTTGACGTCCTCTCACGCGTAACAAATGAATGGCCCAAACGTGCTCAACAGGTGAAAATCAGGTGATTTCAATGACCAATCAAATACCTGCACGTAATTCTGCTACAGGAAAGTTTTGTTGGCCATTTTTCTGCAGGAAAATTGTGCCAACTCCATGACGTCTTAAGAATTGAAGAACCAATAGCCTTAAGCTTACGCGCTTAAGCTTACGTTTTAAGCTCAAGTGCTGAAATCAAATGCCGTGTAAATTGCCATTAACTACAACATGTGTGGTACGACCTCTCTTCCCAATACCACACCCCAACCATTACATATGCGCCGCCTGTTCTGCAACGCAGCAGTTTGAGAAAACATGCACCTTCTGTCACTTTGTTGCAGACAAAATCGGGGCACATCTGTAAAAAGAACATTGTGTCGTTGTCGTAAGGCATAACGACGGTGAATTCGAGTCCATCTACGCCGACTGTTGTGTCAACGTCACGATAAAATGGACCCAGTGTACCGACGCTACGCTTTCAACTGATAGGCTTTCAACCTGTAACGGACTGATTTGGTACACACGACGCCCGAGCAGTTCACTTGTCGTCGTCACTAGATAACAAACTTACTTCATCAGCAATTTTCATCGCTCCATCTACATGCTGCTTCTTGTAGCAGTCGAAGTTTTAAAAAAACTGCAAATATGATTTTATGATTTTTACTAACACTAAAACCGCGAAAATTTTATTCTAGAAAGAAAAAAAACCATAGTAACTAATTCAAGAGAGCAAGTCTTCCGAACTGCTGGACAATAATATTCAGATGTGGACCAACCGGAAGAATGCTTGTAAGTTCGATATGGATACCGGGTATGTTTTGTAACGCAGTACATCAAAATTGATTAGTGTCGTTACGTATCACCAAGAACACACTGAATATGTGGTGACTATGTATTCAGTAATATCATGAGATATGACCTTAATTTCTGATTTATACAATAGCGGATTCGCTCATCTGAGGAATCAAACTAGGATGTAGCGTGTCTTCTGTGACATGGAACAAGGCTATTTTTTTTCAAATGAATTAAACACATATGTATGTAATGGGTAATAGATGATGAATAAAACGAAGCCTTTTTCTCCTATAGGCCTCTCCAGTGATCAAAGGGACACACGTGTGGAAACAGAAAGTAAGTACCGCCACCAATCTGAATATATGACCAATTTCATCTTTTGATATCAGATGATTTTCAAAAAGTGCACATTTTATGAAAATTTCCCACTAATTAAAGGCAAATATGAGGACAATTATAGGCGAATTAATCGGGAAACCTGTATTTCTTTTAACATGCACGAAAATTGAGAAGTAAACACATCACACAATATTTTTTTCTTCATTTTTAAACAATTTATTGTGGTACTCCTTGGTGAATTCATATTGATTAACTTTAATGGTATAAAAATCTCCGTCGTTGTCAATGAATCATACAAGTCTATTTAATTCATTAAAAACATGTATATCTATGTACAAATACCTATTTTTATTTGGCGCTTGCAATATATATTTGATATAAGAAAATAAAGTTAAAATCAACAAAACAACATAACAAAAAAGCAAAAAAAAAATATGACTATAAAACTGATAACAGCAAAAAAAGTACAAATAAAATGAGACTAAAATGAAAATAATATCACACTTAAAAAGCAGCACAAATGCAAAACATTTCTATTCACACACTGTCACACACCGTTATATAAACAGATTTGTTTTTCAGTAGGGTCTATGCAGTATTGAGCAAAGTGGGACATTGCTGTATATGATAGTGTTAATTTAATTAAATTCAATATTTAGCGTGATTTTTATTTATTATGATCTCCATTCACTCAGGATTGCAATTAAAGAAATGCTAACGTAACAAAAACGTGAAGTATCTGTAAGTAGAGGGTTGGTCTTCACGCCAGAGTGTATTCTTTTCAGAAATAAATTCGCTTCACGTATCAATGTCAATCGTAAACATATCCAGCACTTTGAATGTGAAAGTCGTCAAAACGCCGATCTGTTGTAATAGATTATTGAACAGTTCTCGAATTCATTGTATTTGATTAAGCTAAAATGAGCCTTAGGATAGAAAATAAAAAATATGAAATGAGAAAGTTACGTCATAGATATGCATTTCGAAATTCATGGATAGTAAGACGAGCCAGAGAACATTTAAACATAGTTTATAGCCTAGTTTTAAAGTGGTCGAGACAACAGCTTTGATAAGAGAAGATAAAGCGTTTTATAATAAAGTGAAAACACATGAATTGTTTTGAGAAAAGACAAATGTTTCTTTTATATTGTCTATTGACTTATATACACACTAATATTCATATGACTTAAACTTAATTCTCCTTTATGTACCTTAGAATTTCTTCAATGACAAGTGCAGTTATTTTCGTTCTATATCTTATAGTACAGTGAACATAATTACCATGGCAATACGACATTAAAACACGTTGTGATAGGAAACAGGTCATTGGATCATGACATTTGATAACTACCAGCTATCAGTTTAGTATTTAATACTTCTAACGGACAGACATTTTGCGTGGCAGGTGATAAAAGAAGAAACGTTAAGCAGCTTTCTACACAAACGAAAACAAAACATTTATCTCAAACATAACAACGAATAAACCTAGAAAATTACAAAATTAAAAAAAAATTTAAAAAAAAGAAAAAAGGAAAACAGTTCTTACTTCATACACAGCACAATATTACGATTATCTAGACCAGTCTAGTAATATTAACTAGAATAGGTATTGCATATAATCCCGAGACATGGCACACTTTTCAAAACAGTCAATATTCAACTTTGATATACAAAAAATAAATTAGTTGTGTGTAGTTATTAGGCACTGCATATAGGTTATTAAAAAACATTGCATCATTGTAAGTACTGATTGATATCATTCAATGGAAGCTTTTTCATGTTGTTTCATGCCAAGAAAAATAATCATTTCAAAAAAAGTTTTGTACAAAACACAATGAAATTGCATCGACGTAACATCAGCATGAATAAATAAAACATTTCTTAATATAAAAATGATTGTACATTTACAGACATCTTTTAGTAAGAATATCCGTTCATTGTATGACACCATTCCTAACCTTTTTCCTACCAAGATCGTTTGCTTCTGGAAAAAAATGTCGTTTTCGTAGAAAGGAACTTGCGAATGTCATTTGTAGAATTTAATATTAAGAGCATAAAATGATATACATTTTGATATAAGGCCTTCATCGTAAAATAGATATTAAGGAGCACTTCGTTGTCTAAATAACACACATATGTTTTTACAAATATTGTAAAAAGCAAGACATATTCAAAACAAACACAAATAACAAGTGTTCACATTCACTAAGTATAAAGTATCCAACAAAATCCATGGAATGATTTCAGCTGGGCTGCATCACAAAAAAATCATTTTCTCGTCATTCATTTTTCTCGTACAGTGTAATTAACTTCGAAAAACACACCGCAAAGTGCCACTATATATTAGTAAGCTAGTTCGCTCCCCCACGGCCTGTAAGGTTTCACGGCATTATTATTGTAATTATTGGAGCCATTTTGCGACATCATACTTTGCATTGAATTTAACGACACCGGAAACTGTCCATGTAATTGTGGAATCAACGATGGTGATACTTGCTGTCCGGCAGCTGTGTTCATGTTTGACATTTGTCCGTGCAGAGGCACGTTCATACTGGAAGGAAGTCGGAGGTTCCCGTGAAGCGATTCGGGTTGGCTGACACGGGCTTCACTGAAGGACACTGATGAAATGCCTTGATGGGAGGAATGAGTACTCATTGCCAACTCTGATTGGTTGTTCTGCTGTGATGAAATCATAGATCCCATAGATTGCATACTACTTCCGGTGCCATACTGATTGGTGATTGGTGCATGAGGTGTCATGCTACTCCATGTTGAATTCTGAAGTGAGGCTTTGGCAGCAGCTTCTCTTTGAGCAGAGAAACACTGAAGATGACTCAACAGCCTCATTCTCATTGGATCTTGCAAATCCATTCCTTCCACAGCTACGAGGTAACGAGCAACCTCGGAGGCACATTCCCGGTAACCAACGCCTCTATAATCCACAGCAAGGTTGTGTGGGTCTGGGTAATTGTACCCATTAAGACCTAAAATAGAAATAATGTTGAACAATGAAAACTGGAAATAAAAAAGTATGTTTGTGGAGAAACTTGAAGCAAATGCAGTTTTTGAAACACATCACTAAAATGTCATAATATACAAAGCAAAGAGCATCTGGTGAAATATTGGAAGAAGCGACCTCTTAATCATTTATTTGACTAAGTTTTGTTAGCGAAGTATTCCAAATCAATAAGAAACAATACACTTGTTCTATTTCTGATGCATGTTAACCATGAAAATACTTACCTTTTTGGTGGAGCATTTTTAAGTGATCAACGGTCATCTGTAAAATTTCAGCCTTCTCCAGTTTCGCTGAACCCTTCAAATTAAAAAAAGACATATCAATTATTGATATGAAATGATCACATTAGTAATGTGTTACCTTTGACAGCAATACGTTAATGTTTCAATCCGTGAACAAAATAATTCCCGTTACCTTAGCATGTGTATGTGGGTTGTGTTTTTTTTTATAATTATTAAAGGTAGTTGTTTAATGCTATAAAACATGTAGCTAATACAAATAATCTACTTGAATTTACCTGTTTTTCAAAAGCAGATGGAACAAGACGACGGAGTTCGGATAAGCTGTTATTGATTCTGTCACGTCGGCGTTTTTCGATAACCTGGAAGAAAGGCAAAATGAATAGAAAATAAAATAGATGACCATTTATCTTTACAAGTTTCAATTCACCCAGGTAATACGTTGGGAGTTTCTGAATATAATTTTCACTGGGCAATCATATGATCTATTTCTTGGTATGCTGGTTTTTGAATGGCACACGATTTCTCCCATAGTATGACGAGTGTGATGCTGTAGATAATTCTAACAGGATAACAGATCCTATCTTAGTTACTTTAATGACATTTGTCCTTAAACCATTTGCTATCTATTTATTTATATAGACTTACCCCACGTCTCTTTTTTCTGTCAGTAACATGGCAGCTCTGTGATGGTGATCCACTGAAATGACAGAAAAAAAAACCTTTCATCATCTGATATTGTTGGGAGTACAGAAATACTTATATTATCTCAACATACAAGGTCAGACCAATTAAAATGTCGGTGAACCAGACAATGTCTATATTCAACGTAACAGAGGTTTAGTCACATATCAACACTATGTGTTCATTCTAAATGCGACTATGATAATGATGGTTGTTGTAATGATTGTCATAAATCTATGAATCCGACACTCGCCATGTAAGCAATGGTCATAATGACAATTTCAGCATTATAGAGAGTGCTATCAATGTGTTGGCTCCATAGAACAGACATAGAACTGTGACATTAAAGATTGGTAAAATGTGGTATATTTGGTCATATGTAGTCGTTTCGTACAGCTTTCTCCAATAGCTGTTCACAGAAAGGGGCGGGCATCTGTACATACATAACACATATGTTGCTAGAACTAGGATAATGTCAATTAAAACTGGGTCGTCAGAAAACAATAATCAATTTTGATGATATATAAATGACCATTGGATTGGAGATACAAATCCGTGAGAAAAAAAGTTTAGATAACACACGCGGGATGAATTGTTTGCATTAAACTGAAGTCGTGGGAACATGCTACATTTTGACATTATCAATATTTTCCCACCCTGTCAAAAAAATTCTCAGACCTCCCCTTCTATGTCAGAACTAGAGGTGTGTCTGAATTCAAAAACACATCGATCATAGATAAAGACATGTGCATTCTGTGACAACAGCAGCTATTGTTACAAAATTTGTTTATCTGTCCTTCTCGTTTTTTACAATGACTTTAATAATAAAAATGGTCATAGGTTGCAGTGTATATATGTTGTCTATTGCCTCAAGCAACAACCTATTGTTCTTAGTGTTAAATTACATTGTATATTAGTTTGATCTATAGTTAAGCATCGGTAATGTTCTTCGTTACAAAATCATTTGTTTAAATCTAATTGTTACGGGGTTATTTGTTTTATCGTAATATTTCATTTATCTTTTTTCATCTTTTATGTAGTAGCTATATTGAAAAGAATAAACAAATATCTTGATAAACCTGAATCAAAAGAACACATGTATATTTAAGATTTGTGGGAAAATGTAGACATACGTAACTTCTAAATGATTTTTGACGTATTTCAGACCTAAATCGATTGGTATCAATCTTTATCCGCTAAAATCTACAGTAAACTCTGGCGATAGTACCATTCTTTTGTTCTTGGTGACAACACTTTGTCGATTTTGATCAATTTTAAAATAAGTATTTGTTTTACAATCCAAAAACAATGGAAAATACACAGGTATAATGAATGGTTTAAACTCCATGAGACCTCACACAAGTTAAAAACAATGATCCAAAATGTGTATTTAGTATACTGTAAACAAATCAAAATGATAATATCTTAAACAATGGTTTAAAACCAAGTCTATCTCCATTGGAAAATAAACAGGGTTGATGTGTATCTACCTTAGATCGCTATCAATATGTATGGGGTTAATAGCTAAAGGTCTTCGTAGCCCCACGTGCAGTCATGTGTATCACGCAAGACAAGCCCTCGGCGCACATGTGCTAGGAACGACGTTATGATAATGTTACGATGTATTGAAGTATAAGTAAGCACGAATCTTACCTTGATTTCAAATCGTCATCGAATAAGCTCTCGCTGTCACTGTCGCTTAAACTGCGCTTCATTTTTCCTCAGCGGAAAACGAAATTTGTAAAAGAGAATTAGAAAACGGATGCTTGCTCTTTCCTGAGCGCTGGTCGGTTTGGTCTGCCTCGTGCGTTCCCACGGTATAAATCCATTAAAAATTTGTCCGTCGGCTGAGCGCACACCTCCCCCTGTTTGTTTTCATTGGTTGAGTGACAGGCGATCACTTGCCAGACATGCGTAGATTTTCAGGAACTGATGCTCACACGCGCACTGATTGGCTAACGTCCGTCACGAGTCAGCCAGATGGCCGGCCCGTGTCATGGATATTACAAAGAACCTACTTGTGACATGTGCCAGCAGAGTTGATGAAAACAATCATCCACGTGCGGCTAGTGGTCGTCAGCGATGGCCACGGCCACAAACCAAGATGATATAATCCAAATATTGATAAAACACCTTCAATTCTCAATCTCATCTATCATATAACAAATACACATATATAAAAAAAAATAGTTTACGAGTTATTCATAAACACTAATATATGTTGATTATTTCTAAGTAAAACATTGAATCATTTACTATGTTCAGTGTATACATGGTTGGGTCATATGCAGGTGATCTTCAACTGCTAGTGTGTTTCGTGGGAACCGTGGACTTTAAACTATTCCAGACGAGTAGCGATAGAGGCCGAATGTGTGTATGCAGTTTTAATTTCTCGCCTTATCCCGGCGTCTGCCGGTCCCGTGTGAAAGAAATGCCCGAATTTTTAACCCAATTCAGATAACTTTAAATGACAACCACACCAAACAGTAAGGTACGATCCCCACTGCACAAATATACTATGGTGTGTTTACTCTCTCAATTCAATACTATTCTACAATAGGTGAGCTTTCTTGTCGAAGGAAACTATGTTTATAAAGGGTATTCTGTTACATGATGGTACACTATGATAATGGCCTGTATTACTATATACTTTCACATTGTATTCTGTCTATAAATGGGGAAGTAAACCGTTTGTCATTTTAGGCATTGAAAAGTACTTCACTCGTAACATTAAGGATTTATTTACAACCATACATTGAAAGAACATGAATAAACTAGGACTATTTTCATAGTTTCCTTTCTGTTTATATGATTTGTTAATTAAAAAAGTTCTAAAGCTTATTATCTTAAAATATACAGGCCAACAATTCTGGCAACAAATGAGGTAGTGCATTATTGCAATACACAGCTGAATTTTTAGCAATGATTATGCTAGAACCAACATCAATTTCATACTGTGCGATATCGCTTTTGCAAGTAAAATCTGAAAATCATCCACGCTGGAGATCAATTAAAAGAGAAAAGGGACCTTACATTACATAGCATTGATTGATCATTATTGATTGATCATGATTAATTATAATCTGACCTCGTAGCTTAAAATATAAGTCTTATTTACATTCATTAAAAATAATGAAACAGTTTGGAGGAACGAATGTCAATTATTTTTAATGACTAAACAAAAAGAAAATTGAAATTTAATTGAAGTAGGTCCATGTAATATTAAAGCTGATATAGACATGAAGTTGAACATTCGAGATATTGTGATTTCCTACACCAATATCTGGAGTAAAATCAGGCACGGTATCCCACGGTGCGGCAGTGTACCGTACATGCGGCTACAATTAAAGGTTTATATATACGCCTTGTCAGGTTTTTTATGACCCTCCTCTCACTTGTTACAGTGTTTAACACAGTGACGTGGGACCCTTCCCACGGGTATATAACGTGCGAGCTAAGGGCACACGGAAACCAGGCAATATTCATCCTGCAGTTTCGTCATAGTTGAAGTCCTACATTTCAAATATTGCTCTAAACAAATGATTGTTTTTACTTTTTTATCAAATGGTTGTTGCAAATAAATGCAAATAAAAGTTATAAATTTAAAAAATTTCCTCCACTAGGTATTATGCATTAAACATTACATATTGTACTCTGACGCAAGTGGTTTCGTTAAACCATTTTTGTGTTCTGCGATAAGTATTGAACACAGAAACAAATCTTCTCAACTCTCTAGGATGAAATATTAATTCGATCAATGTTTATCATACTTTTTAAACGAGGTACACACAAATGAATAACATCTCCCAATTAAAATAAAGTAAGGTTTAAAAATTACTGTACATGCGGATGATGAACAGCACTACACAGTTGTTTTGTCCATCTAGAACGATATAAAGCACTCGGTGTGTAGAAGTGTAGTAGTTGGGAAATTAGAAATTGGGCTGTTCACATACAAATTTCCTCACATATGAATGTCATGTAACAGGAAAAAAACTTAATATAAAATTTTCCATTAGATGAGGTAAACCGTTCTTATTTTATCTTTATTACCGATGACAAAAATGTCTAGTTCTTCTACCTCTAACTCATCGACATAGAATAGATCATGTTTGCTAGTCCTGAAGAATACCTCATGTTTCTGAGCAGATACTGGTGTACTTGCATTATAATTTTGGTATATGTAACACTGTAGATTAAAAGCATGTTTTGATATTAGCGATAACTTTTGTAAGGTCATTAAGTTGTGTCTTAATTCAAAGTTCGGACGTTTCTAACATCTTCCAGTTGGCTTCTGTACAACGTTTACATATTTTGTCTTGTTTATTTTGTGTTCCTCTCAGTTGTTGCTGAATGGACATGACTTTGTTTACAAGCTGGATGTAGAATTTCCTTTTGTCATTTGACATGTTTGGAGTAGTAAAGATGGACTTGTCATGTAGTCTCAGTTGTATGGATTCATTGTTGACGTGATTTTCCCCTATAAAATCAGGATGTCGAATCTAACCAACAAATAGGATGCTATAGAGGAAACTTAATATTTTCAATGAGATGTAAACAGGTTTGTAATATGGTAACATTTTCACGTCTAACAGTTCTGGAAAAGGATATTATAGTTTGCAATTTCACCAGGTTAACATTCACAATAATTTTGTGATTAACATTTTTTGACTGTGAAAATGTTATATCAAGTGACATTTAGTTATTCTTATTAATAAAGTGAAGGTTCATGACTAAATATCTAAATATCTGTACACTGGGTTAAAGTTTTCATGTTTACAGAATGCTATCAACGTAGAGAATCAGACCAGGTGTTTCGGAAGAGTAACCGTCTTCTGCTTTATCGACGACAGCCGCCACGTAAACCTGCATGTTAACCCAAGTAAGTAATGTCATGTTCTTAAGATGAGAACAAGGTATACAAAATAAATAGATAAATATCTGTACATTGGGTTAAAGTTCTCTTGTTTAAAGAATACTATCAATGTAGATAGTAGTGTACGCTATCTTAGATTGGTTTGTTTTCTGTTATTGTTATCGATACTCATGTAATATTTTTGATGCCACCTATTTTTACAACACATAAATGAATATGATCAGAGGTTTAAATTAGAGACATATAGCTACTGAAGTATATCATATCATATCATTCAGTTACAAATGCTATATGTACAGGTATGATGTAGTTAGTTACAATGTAATTGTGATTTACTTTGCATTCTGTAACAGGCTCAGTCCTCTATTTGATCGGATGACTACATAATAACTACAAAAATATACATTAAATCTGAGATAATGTATATAGAAATACTACAATATGTTTATTCATAAATGAGGGTACATACTTATCATAAAGCATAAATAAATTATTTTGATTTACAATATGTTGGTTTTATGACGTAAATCGATATTCATTGTATGTTGTTACGAAATGATATCGAATTTAATGTAACCTCCAAGTCCACATTAATAAAAATAACTGTGGCATTTGTTTTCATAAATAATAATTAATTAATTTATGAGTAATTGGTAACTCTTTTGAGTATAACATAGGCTTTGTCTGCTCTCTTATCCTATAGTATGCATTTCTTTAATAAAATTATGATAAATTCACAAAGACAATACACAAATGAATAATGAAATGCAAGACATTAAGTATTAATATTGTTTTTGTCGCTAGAAAAATGGTTTTCATTCCTATTTAAATGATCATAAACCGACTAGTAATAGATCTGTTGTAGTTGTAAAAGCAGCAAGTTTAATCATCATGGAACAAAATTAAAACAACGTCATCTATAATAAATACATAAGGCTAATATGCTTGCCGTATATTTCTGAAAATGAAAATATTAGTCTATTTAATGTTCGAATCCATTCACACAGGAACGAAATCCAACACCTGGGCACGCGTTGTCTAGCTGTGGCACGCGACCTCCTGTGCACTCAAAGTGTCAATAAAACACTGAATATACCTTCAATGTAAAAACAGATGAGTTTACCGTTAAATTGCTGTGCAGGTTAATATGTTGTTATCACTAGTGTCACTGTAGATGCTGTACCGTTAGGATGGTGTACACCTGGTGGAAACGCTTGTCAGATTGTTGTCATCCTGTCATGTTCTCATTACCCCGACGATATGACAAGTGTCAACACCTAGTATCTTTTGAAACATGAAGGAGTCATATTAAAGATCCACCCAGTTTCATGCTCCACTACCGTTATGTGACACGGGCCGGCGAGTCGATAACGCCAGAGGACGCTACACCGAGCTCTGTGACACGACGTCCCGCTCGAGTAGTCACACACTACAAGGTTATGTTTGCCTCGCGAACGCATGCGCAATGATAATTCCCGTTCAAGGGTCGCGAGGACGAGGATGTAATGACACTCTGCACCTGGCCTTTTTAGTGACGTCACGTGGAATTTGAATAGTTTATCGTGGCTGATATATTGATTTTTCAGTGTCAATGCAGCGTGGCAGGTTTTATTGTGAAGTGTCGCTCCCTGTTCGACAACAAGACACGGGCGATTTACTACATCGTGCAGTTTCTTGACACCCTATTTTTCTGCCATTTGTTTAATAATTCACCTGTATAGCTGTAAATGTGCCACCAATATCAGTGAACCATGACACGAGAGATTTAGTCAGCCTTACTATTGTACATCATTAAATTTGACATGTTGAATGTAAATGTCTTTTGGCACCAATTTCTTTGAAAAAAATATTACCATTTCATA